GCTTAAATTAATCCATTTCCATAAATCTATACCTTGCCACGTGGTTCGTGGCTTACTGGCATCTTCACATGCTGCTTGTCATGGTGGCGGCTGGCAGTGACTCCTTCTGCCTTCCTGTTCTTTCTTTTCTCCTCTCTGTTAGTCCTGCCTATACTTCCTGCCTAGCCACTGGCCAATCAGTGTTTTATTTATTGACCAGAGTAATTTGACATACAGACCATCCCACAGCAGACCTTTTTTTTTTTTTTAAAAGCAAGCTGGAGTTTATTAAAGTTTTAAGATGGATTTAAGCCTGGGCATTGAGGGAGGAGATGTGTAGGAAACCCAAGATACGGACTTCTCAAAAGTTGCTTTTCCAGGGCTGCTGCTGCTTCTTTTTTTTAAAAGATTTATTTATTTATTATGTATACAGTGTTCTGTCTGCACACATCCTGCAGGCCAGAAGAGGGCACCAGATCTCACTACAGATGGTTGTGAGCCACCATGGGTTGCTGGGAATTGAACTCAGGACCTTTGGAAGAACAAGCAGTGCTCTTAACCTCTGAGCCATCTCTCCAGCTCCCCTACCCCCCAGGGCTTCTTTTAAAACGAACTTGAATGGATATAGCCTATGGTATCTGATAACTAATTTCCTGATTAAAAACATCACAGCATGATTTGGGAAAACTTCAAGAGTTTTTTTTTTTTTTTAAAGAGTGTATGTAGAAATGCCTCTTCAGGTGCCAAGGGGCTTTTTAGAGTCTTCAACACAACCCAATATATACTAGGTGAAAATCAGCTTAAATAGTTTTCCAGTGTAAAATTTTATATATATATATATATATATAAATACATTGAAACACTTGTGAGTTTATTTGCAGCCAATCCACAGGCGAAGGCAAATGTGAAATTTTAACATTAAGTTGTAGCAACAACGTGGGATACAAAGCTATGAACAGTGAGCACTGGAAACCCTTGAGCACGCCAACTGTCCTGTGGCTTCCTTATCAGTGAAACATGCTTCGTCTTGGACAGTGAGTGTATACTCACTAAGGTGGTGTAGTATTTAACACCTCTCAAAGACTTTGTATAGATCTGGCAGGTTGGCAAGCTGCAGGACATTTCCATCCTCTGTGAAATGCTTTGGAGGCAGAAGGTGTGAGCGAAAAGCTTTATAGATAATGTGCTCCACAGTCCACTTCCAGGGCTTTGGAGGAGAGCCAGGCATGTCAGTCTGGAAAATACATGAAATTCGATTTATCTCCCCACATACCGGCTGTCCCACTGACATGACAGGCACTGGGCCTGGAAGGTCTTAGTGGTATGTAGTGGGGCTTCTACAGGACAGTCTTGAGGATCCTACACGTCTGAGCAGAAGCAGCAAGATTTGTGAAGAAGAAAAGAAACCAGTATTTTGAGGAACCACTGCCTATGTTTTTGTTTCCACTCCAGTGGATCTAACATTTCTGAGCCTGACTCCTGGATCATAACTCGACAGCAAACCCGGGGTGTCTTAAGGTAGCACTGCTCTGACACTCCACGGAGGGTAGATGTGCCTCACTGCTCCTCTCTGTGGAAGCCTTGGCTGCCCCACGCATGGTTCTTTCCCACCTGCTGTGTGGTTCCCATCAAATAAGCTTAGAAGAGTTTGTGTGTCCACTTCCACACCAGGGTGAGTTCCTGGGGTCTCAGCCAGCAGCCAGGGCTAGTTTTTGTTCCACCACATTAAGTACCAGAACCTCTGAGGACTCCAGGCGTCCCGAGCAGTGGACAACATGTGTACCATCACCAAGTGGCTGTGCACTACAGTGGCTAGCCTCTGGTTCTTAGAAACTCGTGACTCTCTGCCTTCCTCTGACACACGAGAGAGCATTATCTGACTGAAAAGTGGCAAGGAAGAACCCAGGCTCTTTTTGTCAGGTTGGCCTCTGAGGGATTATAGACATGGCTTCCTGGTAAAGAAGACAGAGAGCAGATGCAAAGCAGGGAGAAACTGAGGTAGACAGAAGACTGGTCTAGTACTGAAGACTTGAGCTGTCACACAGCTGCTGGCTTACAACACTGATCTCAGCTCTCCCTTTCACTGTCACAGGCACCTGTCCCTATCTGACAGGCTCTCGGATCATTCTAGAGGTCTATGTTCAAGTCCAGCAGAATGAAATAGAGTTCATGAATTAAAGCTGGCCATTGTAAAGAGTTGGGTGTGCTGCTACACACTTAGAATCCCAGCACTTAGGAGGCTGAAGCAGGAGTATCGAAAGTTCAAAGCCAACATGAGCCATATGCAAATTCCTGGGTTAAAAAAAAAAGTTGAGAGCTGTTGTTTGAACCTTGTCATATAAAGTGAAACTATAGGATTTTAGAGATGATTTAAGTTCCATATCCTAAAGTACATGAGACCCGCCCCAGTCCTGGATGCTAGTGTGCATTAATTACCATAGTACCTGCTGGCCCGAAAGGGTTGACTCCTCCAGTATATACTGCTTCCGAATGGAGTAAAACACAGCACATTCTTTACTGAGGGTTTCAAAACATTCCTTCTCTTCATCCCAATTCACCTGATCCACAGAAGTCAATATAAGAAAAGCATTTAATATAGTGCTTTAACATTTCATTTATAAACATCACAGACAGACAGACAGACAGACAGACAGACACACACACACACACACACACACACGTACTGCTTAGCATCTGCTGTTATATACCTCTGTAGCCAGTCGAAGGATGAAGAGAGGCAGTCCCTCCAAAGGGGGTACATAGTTGTCAATCAGAAGGGGTAATCCAATCAGGTTCCCTTCCTGCTTGGGGAGGTAGGGGCGGAGGGTGGGGCAAGAAAGGAGGGTAAGAATTAATGGCATTAAGGCTGATAGGTTTCATTTCTCTCATGTTTCTCCAAGCCCTATACTGGGTACGGGTTGTAGGATGGGCACTGTGAGACACAAGGTTAAGCATTTCAAAAGAGCCTTTGGTCAGGAACAACTTTTCCTTCTGGATCTGCTCAGAAACGTCAGGACAGAAGCCCCAAAGAACAAGAGGAAGATGAAGAAATGAAGCCATGGCATAGTGTCATTCTTCATGTGGCCTGTAAGGACTGGGATCTCAGCTTGTGTTCCCTAGGACTCTGTAAGAAACCTCCTCAGGGCAGGCACCTGAGGGGATTTCGATAGAACAGCATGATGGATGACTATTGCTGTATCATCTCCAGTGCAAATGGGGAGTGGAGAAAATGTCATGTATGGCACATGCTGCTTCTGAGGGGAGGCCAGCCTTTTGGTTCTAACCCTGGAACTTGACTCTCATCTGAAAGAAAGCTCAAAGGCATGCAAATAGCTGCCCCACCTCATCAATTTCCAAAGAGAAATAGTCTGCAAGCATCTCAGCTTTCTTCTTCAGAAACTCAACAATGTATTCTGCAAGCCCTTCCTTTGGGCCGTCTTCCTCTGTCCAGCCACTTTCAGGACTGTCTAAGGCCAGCATGGCGAGGTCAAAGAGTGGTGCTGGTTCCTGGGAAGAAGCAAGAAGATGACAGGTATTAGGTGGGAAGCGTGAGTCCAACAGACCCAACTCAGTTCCGATATAAAGCACCAACGGCGACAGAATGCCCGCTCATCATTGCAGCATTCAATACCTCCATTACCAGCAGAACAAGGAGACAGAAAATCATTATGGAGACAGTCAACAAGCACACGATGAGCACAAGATCCACGTGGCATTTACAGAACACCCTAGCAAGGTAATACTGATTTTTTTTCAGATGCACAAAGAACATAAACTGACAAAACACATGCTCCAGGCCATGAAACAAGTCTCAGTAAGTGTGAACACACTCAGGAATTGTCTTCAACCAAGCTAGAATTAAAGTAGAAATCAGTAACAGATTTCTGGAAAACCTCCAGGAGACTAGATGCTAAATGATGCAGACCTAAATACAGACAGCCTAGCTTACTCAGAAAGCTCCAGGTCCTAGCGAGAGATCCTGTCTCAAAAAGAAAACAATGACAAAAAACAAGAG